TTACTGCCATGGATGGCATAGTATTAATGGTCACAATCAACAATTACAAACGAATACTTTGTAAATAAATGCCGGTTTCCTCATTAATCCAATCTGTACGTAAGCGCAGATACTGGGTCAGCGTTCTCAAGGTTTCTTGCACCGGGGCCCTGAAGGTTCTAGTTACACCTCTGTGTGTGAGGATGAGTTGTTGGAGAGAGTGATAGTTCAGTGGTTACGTTGAGGTGGGATAGGCTTCCCTGAAGAGAGGAGTCTTAAGGGATCGCCTAAAGGCAGAGCAGGAGATAGCTGGAAGGTTGGGGTAGGGAGCGCCAAAGGATTGGAGAGACTCTAGAGAAGTTCTGGAGGAGAGCATGGGAGGAGTTTACAAGGGAACTAGAGAGCAGGAGGCCTTTGGTCTTGCAGGTAAGATGTATCATGTATATACTGTATGTATACCCAACGTTCCGGCATAGCGTTCCGAAGTACACTGCTCACTGCCTAGACTCACACAGGGGCGCTGTGTGAGTCAATTAGGTCAATGTAAAAATGTAAATCAGGAACCATATTTGTGAAAAATGTTTTGCTATTTCACAAATATGTTCAACATCACCCAGCAGAAAAGAAAAAAATCAGCCATAATGATTTGCTAGGACAAGACTTAAAAAATAGTAATATTAATAAATAAATATAATAATTTTAAATATTATTATTATAAAGTCTATAGATTATTACATTAATTGCTATTTCACAAATGTTTAGAATAATAATAAAAATAATAATAATAACAATTATTATTATTTGTATTTATTATTATTATTTTTTTTTTTCAGTGTTAAAAAGCATTTGATAATTAAATATTATTTACTTAATCACTGATCAGCCATAGTAAGCTACATATAACCAATTGTACTGCTAACTACTAAGTGCCATTGATCCACAAGTTGATATGCAAGGAAGCAGATCCATGTCCTAGCAGGAGATGATTAACCTAGTTAAAATAGTTACTCTACAATCAACTCCAATTCCTCCTCCACCGCATTCAGTCTTGAAGACCTGTCATTTTGGTCACTCCAGAGAACACGTCTCCACTTCTCTAGAGTCCAGTGGCGGCGCGCTTTACACCACGGCATCCCACGCTTTGCATTGCACTTGGTGATGTATGGCTTGGATGCAGCTGCTCGACCATGGAAACCTGGAAGGGAAGGGAAATGTGGATAAGAGTCTGATAATCTTAAAGTTATCTCTAAGAATCTTTGTTTAGAGCAATAAAAAAAGCTGCTCTTGGTGATCACATTCTGAAAAAAGTCTAAACTTGCAAAGCTGGAATCGACTTAGTATGAAGAGATCTGAGACAAATAATTTTTGTAGCATCCTTATGGATCCTCTGGAGCTTTCTCTTTCAATTAAATCTTGTTTTTTATTTATTTAAAACATAGAACATTTTTTTTAAAGTTAAAACTTAATTTAAATATTAGATTTTGTTTGTCTTTTTAGAATTTTTAGAACTTTTTTTTTTTTAAATTAGTTCATTTTACATTGCTGACCTCTGTACTGCGCGTCACACAGCTGGCCTCTGTATTCTGTATTGCACCACTGACTTCTGTACTGTGCATTGTTACTGATCTTTATACTCTGGGTCACACCGCTAACCTGGCGGAGTTAAGGCCGGGGCAGGGTAGGGGTTAGGTGGGGCAAATGGTGGCGAGTAACGTTTCAAGCCTAGCTAGTAGCTTAGGACTTGAAATTTTGGGCCCTGAAGGGACCATTGCGTTGCATAGAAAAATACCCAAGAAAAAAATTGTACAAGACTATTGGGATCCTAAGATCACTGAGCAATCAAGTAACATTGCATCCACAGTAAGAGGCATGGGAGCAATGCTCCGTAAACGTTACCAAATAACTATAGAAACAGCCATAACCAATGAAAAATAAAATAATAATAACAAAAAAATGTTTGTAAACATTTCACCTGGGCCCCCTTTCCCCACCTTTAGGTCAGGTGTCCAATATCATATCACTCCGCCAGAGGAATGCCAACTGGGGGGGGGGGGGGGG